TTATTCCTTTGTTATCGGTGGCATTTGAACCCATTGTTATTACCCACCGTCTTGTTTTTTTGTTTTTTTTAACTACCGCGCGCTGATGTTTTATAGTGCAGAATAACGGTACTCTCGACATTATTGCGTGTACTTTGACGTTTATTTCAAAAAGCACTATCCTCATATGGTCTTGTTGTTTTTCTACATCCAAAGCACGGAACTCGATTCATTAAGCTGGCTTTCAACTCGTGGAATGAACAACAAGCACTTGCCATAACTGAATTGTATTGCATTTTTACACGAACCAATGAAAGTTGCATGGAGATGAGGTTGGCCGTAATGGAATGAGATACGATTCTTGCCTGACGTATTGTTCACGCAAAAAAAAGTTATTGTCATGGGTCTATATTGTGAAAAGGTGACATTATACAAAACGTAGTGGCCGTAAACATCAAAATGTAGTGACCGTAAACAACATAGTGTATTGTCCAAGATTTGGTTTTCAAACATGCTCCAAGACGAGAGGACAGAGGCTTCATTCCTTCATCTGTAAATGCATTGTAAATATAGCATCATTACGTCTAAAAGTCGTACGAGTACCCTATGATTTAATAAGTAATAGTACATTTTAGACCAGAAAGAGCCATTGATAAGTGCACTCGGTGTACCAGCATGTCATACGGTCAAAGATGATTTTACAAATAACACAGATGAAGATTTCCTTAGACGATTTACAGTCATTGATAATAATTGATTTAACCATGTTACTCTTTTGCCTTCTAGAAAAATTGGTTAGATTTTGAATCCTTTAACACAAATGTTACCCAAGACACAAAACGCCCTTTCGTGATCAATGACACGTACTGCTGTGGCCGGTGTCGTATTTGTGACGGCTATATGGTTTATTCCACAGCCACCTGAGACATGTATTTTGACGCCCTATTTTGTTGTAACATTTCCGTTGCAACGCAGACATTGTTGTTTAAATGGAGGAAATAACAATGATTAAGTGTTTCGTTAATCTAGTTCCCTCAACGTGCCCACGATGACCCATGCAATTTGGGACCACTAGGTCTCAAGTGTTGTAATGTTTCTTTTATACCAAAGGACAATTTGAGATCTGTGGTAATTCTGAAACTGCTGAACTTATATACGCTGCATATAGATAATTTATGTGATCATGTTTGTTCGCAGGGCTATCCCTCAGTTTTCCATTTCCGAGGATATCCCACACATTTTCAATGAGGTTCTGATTTAGAGGATGCACTGGTTATTTGTCGTGGGGTCTGGGTTTGGTATAACCCGCCTACTGTTGCATTGGCTACAACATGTACGTGGAGTAAAAATATCATGCTGAATCATAAATGGGTGGTCAGGGTTCCCCCAAAGATATCCTCGATAAAATTCCTCAAATTTCCCTCCAGTGTTTGGATGCAGTGCTATGCGTTAAGGTTCCAATTGACCACTACCAGCTCGTCTACACCATAGTTGCCAATACACCCCATATCATGACTTATTTGGGGTGTGTCTTGTGGACCAGAGACAAAAACTTTTTCTTATTAGCTGTTCTCCAAAACCTAGGGCATCCATCGCTTCTGACACCCGCTTTCATCTGAGAACAGTATCATTGCCCAGTTGTTGGCTCTTGTCTCCTAACAATAACCCTGCCAAAACAACGGCGATTGTGCAGACGTCTTCTGACGTTAAACTCAGAAATTGGTTTGCCTATTATGGTTAAATGTTGCAGTCAAATCCTTAAATGCCATAAAACGTTTTCTACGAGTAATATGTGTTAGCATTCTCTCTTCTCTCGCTGTGGTTCCCTTCGGTCGGCCTTAATTACCCAAGCAATCTTGCCCATGTGCCTGTTTGGTTATGATGCTGTCTACCCTCTAAATTGTTTTCATGGGACAGCCCAACCTTTTGGCAGGTAGAAAGTACCACCTTGATAAAAATGTATCCTTCCAATTTAGGATCCGCGTATCAAGAATATAATTGGTGTTGGGGTATTTCAATAGTCACGCTTGATTGGTCAACATCCAACTACTCACATCCCAAATTGACACGATGATCGGTTGCCTAGTTGTTGGGTAATAGTAATATTAAATCTATGACTGCATTCCCACAGATTTTAGATCGATCTATCCACTCTCACTAGATTGCTGTCAGCTTAGCCGGCTTAAATGTCTGTCCCGCCTACTAAAAGCTGTAAGGGGGTAATTAACTTCCGTGCACGCTCGGCTGACAGTAATTTAGCATGAACCCCCAGGAAGTTAGGTCGATCCAGATGGTTCGATCTAAATCTGTGGGAATGCAGTCTATGGGTACCCTTGTACCATTGTACACAAATGCGGTAGGTGTGACACTTTTTTTGGCAGGGGATTATGCATATTGGAGTTAAAAACATTATCATACTGGTATTTATATCTCTTTAAATCGTCACAATTTCTCTATACGTATCTATAATCTTGGTTCGTAGTATTTGGCCATTAATGCTTGAATGAAAGTTTGATTTACTAATATACAGAGAAAGGGAGTATATACTTTCATGAAACTTGAAACTGCAGCCATTTTAACTGTAGTTTCCCATCCGTTCTTCATTTCCAGGCATATGAGCGTTCAATTAATTTTTAAATAAAATTTTCATTTCAAATATGACGTTCCAGTGATTGAACGCTTAGTGTTCAAATAAAGTTTATGCCCCCNTTATCATACTGGTATTTATATCTCTTTAAATCGTCACAATTTCTCTATACGTATCTATAATCTTGGCTCGTAGTATTTGGCCATTAATGCTTGAATGAAAGTTTGATTTACTAATATACAGAGAAAGGGAGTATATACTTTCATGAAACTTGAAACTGCAGCCATTTTTACTGTAGTTTCCCATCCGTTCTTCACTTCCAGGCATATGAGCGTTCAATTAATTTTTTAATAAAATTTTCATTTCAAATATGACGTTCCAGTGATTGAACGCTTAGTGTTCAAATAAAGTTTATCCCCTCCCCCCCCCCCCACACCTTGCCAGGGTGACAGCTGGCTGGCGTTTGGATGTTGACGTCATACTGGCGAAGTGAACATTGATGTCAACACCCAACCCTCTTAATTGACAAAGTAATATAAGTATGCACTAAAGCTGATCTGCTATGAAGAATAACAATTGTTACGTCACAAGAAGATGATTTTATTAATCACGACTGTTGCTATAACGTACTACATATCACATTCAATTTGACGAAAACTAAAACTAACAAACAATATTTGCTCACGACACACGCGCATACTCTCCCTGCCGCTCCTCTTATCGGAAATAACAAGATCTTTAATTGGATAAGTGACTGAATTGTGTGGTACATTTACTTTGGCGTAGGTCATTAAGAAAAAGGAATTGGTTTTGCTTAATAATCCACAAAATAAACTCAGGCATTATCGTAAGCGGATTTTGAAATTAGCCAGGTTTGTAATAACTAGAACAGCAATTTGGTTTGACAGAAGCGTGTTACTTGACATTGTAAGCCAAGTGATTAACTCGATAAGTGATATATAGTCAGTTAATTGTGTTCAATTCCTGAGCATCAATCTCAGCACGTCGTATTTCAGCTGGAAAATTTAGAACAACTGGGTTGACACTTCCAGTGCATCGGACGTCCATCATCATACCCCCTGACGCCTTCGAACGCTAAGAAGGTCCCTTGAGAGCAAGCTTAACGCCTTCAGTTTATTCGAAACAACCATCCAAGCACATAGGCTTACGCGTGAACACGCGGCGCACGTCCACCATCCCTGTTAACTTGATTTGACAACTCACAAATGGCGACTGCTAGCTAGCTGATAATCTCATTCCGCTGTCTCCCCTAACAGCTCCAATTTTGATACGCTAGAGCGTTAGATTGTCTATATATACCCCCTAGAAAAATGTGTTAACACCCCTAAGAATCCTTAGCGCCCGATGTCCTAAGGCATAAAACGCTAGGTTTCCAGATATGTCCTCTAAAAATTATTTCTCATTCCTTTTGGTTATTGAAGTCCAACAACAGGTCCCAATACCAAAAGTTAACAGGTGTGCCAAGTGGGTGAGGGGGAGGTCGTGGGACACGGAATTTCAGTGATCATGGGTGATTCGCCAGCATACGGTTGAAGCTGCATGTATATTCAAGTTTGGTTTACTCCAATGTTGATCTAAGTGACAAAGCCAACCAAGAGGTGTGGTGACATTTAAACAATTGCTCCCCCATCCGTCTCCGTTAGGTCCAAGTAAAAACATTGGCAACGAGAAACAAAACTGTACAATTTGACAGGTGCTTGGATCAAGTCCACTCTGATGTCATAGTTTGGACGCGAGATGGGATCTTACCGATCAATATGTGTCAATGAATGTTTAAAATGAAGAACATTCAGTCCTGTTAAACCAGTGTTAAGCGTTAGAGATGAACACTTAATGTCTTCCATAGCTCAGAAAACACACTAAAATGGTAATGTCGTTCGAATACCTCTCAGTTTTTTCCCTATGTTGCAATCCTGTTTCACATGTGTCGGTCAAGAGAAGAGAAAGAAACATTAAACGGAAGTTATTGTCCTCGAAAACGCTCCGTGAGTAGAGGATGCTCTTTGCCATAAAGCATTAAGATTAACGAACAAAAGGACAGAACAGAGCATATCCAGAAAAGATTTCTTCGGCTGTGATATGCACTCATAATAGTTTCTTCTAAGAACAGCTAATCTAACAACTGCTGTATATCATAAATATCATATTATACTGGGTATAACTTGAATGACGTAGCACAGTTTTCGGGGCCCCAAAATATGGGAGTGAAGCGATTGTGACATTGGTTCAAGTAACAAATAGCGAACTCGTATCCTTCATGTAAGGTAAGCTCAAATAACTAAATCCAGATTGTGACATCCTCCGATACAGTAGGTGTTTAAGCGGCGGTGACGTCATCAATCGATATCGCGACATCTGTATAAAATGTAGCTTTACCAGCAACGCAGTTATTCTTTTACACTGGCACATTAGAAGAAACACGCTTGTGGAAGACTTTATATCTTAGGCGGTTGATAGCTTTGATTTAATCAAATAAGCCTGTAGTAGCTACATCGGCGAAAATGGGTATTTACGATGCCACGGAAGATCCCCAGGCTCCCAAGGACTTGAACTTAAAGACAATGCAGTATGAAAAACTAGACCCACAAATGTTGAACAAAAACGAAAGTGAGGGACATCTTTCAAGCACGGTGGAAACGTCATTTATTGAAGGCCCGACAAAATTTGAGGACTTCTGTTCCATGACGGAAAGCAAAAGCAACAAACGGGTCTTCTTCTCACGGAGCGTTTCAGAGAACAAATATTGCCCTCCAAGGAAAGCCCCTCCCCAGAGAAGCAGCTCCGATCTTGGAGCACGGCGAAACAGCGTTCCATCCTTTATGCTTGCAGATTGCCTCAATTTCGCCTCTTTTCGTTCTGTGACTCTCGAAGACATACCCCAGTGTTGTAGGGTGCGGAACTTTGCGATTTCGTCCAAGGGACAGTTGCTTAACAGGGGTGACTCATTTAAGTTGTTGCCGGTGCAGGGCTTGACCCTCGATGAAGTGGTGCTTAACGGTAATGTAAATGACCCCACATCCACCCAACCAAAGAGTAGGTCAAGTAGTTGCTCCAGTAGCGGTGTCGAGCGGTCCCATAATGTGACTGTCTTAGGAGAAAGCGGGGTTGGAAGATCGTTGCTTATCAGACAGTTTTGCACGTCAGAATATCTAGGCGCATTTGACCATTCAGGTAAGTACAACAGAAATTCTCTCTCTCTCTCTCTCTCTTAAATTGGCAAGATAAGGTTTTAATGTGCTTATATATATATATAAGCTTGTTTAGAGTTGTTTTGGCTCAGAACGGTTGTGTGTCACCTCCGATTATCTACAAGAGACAAGACATTTGAAACACAAACGAAAAGAAACGGCTTCTCTGAGAATTACAAACACAAAACAACAGGCATAAACGCCATTGGTAATACAATCAGAATTCATAGCGCCCCCCCCCCCCACACACACACATAATTCACTTCAGAAACAACCCAACCACCATGCATTTATGACAAAAAGATGTGTGAATAAAAACCACATCTGTTTCCAATGGCATATTAATATTAGATGCCAAAGTAAATTTAACGAAAATAAAGCGCTGTTCGATAATGAAATTATACACCCGATTACCATTAGTCAAATTATATAGGTTACGGGATGTTTTTTATCTCTAGATAGCAAAATAATTGGACGGTTTGAAAACGGACGTATTTACGTGTCACTTGTGTTAATGGCACCCCGACAATCGCATCGCTCCTGATCGGCGGGCACACACGACGGGCATTAACCCTTACTCCAGATACAAGGTCATATATTTTATCTTCTCAGGCCAATATCGTTAATGTCGCAGGGTTCCCATCAGCTAAGTTAAAGGTTGCCTTTAAGTACAGTGCTGGGAATTGAATGTGCCCCGAAATAACGTAAGTGGCATGCAAATCGTATTTCATCTCCCCGGGGCGTGGTTAGGCCTCCCAACCTCATTGATTTTTCCTTTTCCCCAAATGGGCACGCTGTGTGATTGGGTAATTTGTTATACATACAGGGAATTTTAGATTATTTTTTAGTGAAATAGACACTTTGAAGTAGGCTTGTACTGAAGGGAGATGAGATAGAAACCATTCAAACACTAATGGATGACATAGTATACACTTCTAGAAAGTATTTTATATATCATGTGAAACAAAATATAAACATGCCTTTAGAGATTGCTTTCGCGAATTGAAACATGCTGCGCGGAGCAAAAGACCATTTCTGGTCATGCAATATGTTCTGAGTGTGTTTTGCCAACATCCAGATAAGCTTAATCCTAATACTTTTTCATTTGGCTATTGCCAATATTGCTAATTGCTTCATAAAGTTATCTGATTATGGATATTTGTTTCAACATATCACTTATGATGCGCAATTGATATGATATTGCATGTTTGTCTAAAACCTATAGAAAGTAGATAGGATATCGTGCTACAATTAAGCAGCGCAAATACCTCGCTGATGGCATCAATATCGAACACAGAACCTGGAAGAAAGAGCAAATTGATTCCAGTAGACTCGTTATCTTATGAAACCTTTATTTTGAAAAAAAGTACATGCTAAAAGAGCGCTTTGTCATTGACAACAATCTGATGTTGAAAATGCTCTAACACCTGTATTCATGATAGACGCTCCTTGTTTGTCTGCAACCATTGACATTTCATAAGCTTCGTTAATGTCATACCAATCACAAAAGTTGGGTAACAGCTTGAGCAAGACTATGTAGATTAAAAAAACTAACCACGCATTCATTGTTTTTAGGTCTATCATATTAGTGGTCCGTACCATGCGATACTTGATGGCATGCAGTCAAGCATTTAAAAAACCATATATTGTTTTTTGTTTTTTTTTTCATTAGTTTAGCTTGTATGCATGGTTCTCCATTGCATTAGCTCTCGCATTTTGTGATGAACTTACCTAGGCGTTTTTGCGCTTTGTTGACTGAATGTTAGCGTTTTAAAAAGCTGAATCGTTCAGGATCAGTGCTGTTTGGGTATTGCACAATGTTATTGCGAATTCCCTAGCCTAAAATGAATGGCCGTCCACTTGTCTTCATGAACATCTTGATACATACCACCAATGTGCGACATTATTCACACTCAATCCCCTGTTGTTTCTTTCATAACCAAAGCAACGATGCCGTCTGTCATGATGACAACTGAGTAATTTCATCGCAAAAAAAAACAAATAACGTTATCTGATGAAATCCAGAAATAGACCAATTTCAATAAGTCCATCCAGGCACTACCAGGGGGTGTGAAAAACGCTCCCCACGCTGTTGATCATATATTGTCATGTGCTCATTTATCAAGTAGAAACACTGCCCAGGAATCTTGTCGTGATGAGCCATGCAAATTGTTCCATTTACCCAAAGCTAAAATAACGTTGGCTATGTCACCAATCCAACAATTATGTGAAAATGTCTTGTGCGGTCGTTTAGTATTTTTTCGCTAGAAAAATACTTGTTAAGTGTTTTGCACTGATGGATCAGTTTAGATCAGAGAGAGTACAGTTTTGCAAAAGATAAGTTATTAGAAACGCCAAAGTGAATAATTTGATCCCTTCCATATGTGTGTAGTTCCTTAAAGAGAGAAAGTTCAGGTACATTATCTTCAATGACTTCATTCGAACGGCGATGATATTCAAGCTCCAGATTAATTAGTCCATCGTATGTCACGGAAACACGAAGCCCGTCTTAAAAGACACAATTAGATGCAAGCAGGTTTCTCGTGTTCACAAACCGTTCCTATTTCCAGACAATTTTAACGTTCTGCCAGGAACTGTGAGTTATCTCCAGCTGATAATGATCCTATCTGGGAACCCCTATTCTCCTTACAATTTCCTTTTTTGTCTAATTAACTATAAAGCTCAGGGCGTTTGTTGTCTTAAGTATCACAAAAAGCACCATAATATGCCCGTGTGTGTGTGTGTGGCTTGTTTTCACACGCATACATATACGCGCACACGCACGCGCGCAACTTTTTGATTCTATTTAAAATGGCAATCGGTGATGTATAGATCTCTTTCATCAATGAAGTTTCACTTGAATAGATTTAAAATAACATAGTAGTAGCTTTTTAATTCTTTTTATTTTATTCTTAACCAAAAAGTGCACTGGAAGATTTGTTGTTACCCCCCCCCCCCCCCCCCCCCCCCCCTCCTCTCGCAATTCCCACTTCCCACAGAAAATGGCGAAAACTCACGTCCCTTTCTGGGAAGAGACAGATTGTTCGGTAAAAGTGACACCACTTTCCCTTTCACTTGCCCGTATTAGCTACTGTGAGAACAAGTATGAGATGTGTGTCCTGCGTTCACCGACTGAAATGAAAAGTGGATACGTGGGTAGGGTTATAAAATGAACAATTGAGAACTGCCCTCGCACAATCCGATAACTTCTTTTTTATCTCCTTTTTCTTTTGGTTCTTGAAAAGTCATCAAAAGGGGGAACAGAATGTAAGAATTTCAGAAAATATCATGACATATGGGAAATGTCACGGCATTTCAGTGAGCGGTGATATTTCATTTACTTTTGCTGAAGTCTCAAAGTTTACGTTGCCGTGGATTAGAATCCCTTTGGACGCTTTCTGTGCCTGTTGACTTTTAAACTAATTGGGGATTGTGGTGTGCTGAGTCGACACAGAACGGACGAGGTACCTAGATGCAGGGAAGTCGTAGCTTGCGCGTTTTATGGGCTCATTTCCAATGACACACTGTCATCTCGTGTTGATTACAACGTGCTTGCATAATCGTCTGATTTTCTATATTCTATTCAACGCCAACAGGCCCCGGATTCTTCCCTAGCCAAGATCTTTATTACCAAGGTTACATGGTCACATGGTCAAGTCTTAGCCTATGAGGAACAGTGTAACTGCACTCTTATGGAAATCCTAGTCAACTAAGTCCGGGAACTGACTTAAGTTTTTTTTTTTTTTTGTGAAATTGGGGCCTGGAGGCGTGTTGATTTGTTAATCTGACTGCACTTAGCGAGAGTTCCCGCGGAGTTGGATCGATCTACGTAGAATGATAGTTTCATTGTGAATGAACCCTATGGTCGTATTTTGGTCTCGCTGCACATTTAACACAAGCAGTGGTGAAATATAAATCTGCAGAAACCCGAGACTTTTAACTGAGATGCTTTTGGCATTTTTGCACACTGGACAGGTTGCATTAACAAAAAAGCTTCTTTGGGAATACAATGCACGTTTTGTAACTTTACTTGCCTGGTCTTTTTTTTTTAAGAGTCATACATACCGACGTAAACATCTCATTAATCAGCAAGGCGTTTCGTAAGAAGTAATTGTCAACCAATCTGTCAACCGCTGTGTTTTCTCACCTGGTGCCTAGATTGCTAAAAACAAAGACACACACTGTTATTCTTGGAAACAGATTGGAAGTATTTGATGACATTTTCTAAGTCACATTAAATCCGTAATGAGAAAGCATACCAAGCATTTGCAATCACAGGAATAGCCTTGGGAAGTACCTTTGTCTACTTAAACGAAATCTTTATTCGGTACAAAAGTTTGTAGATGTCTTATGCTGACCAGAGATAATACTTTAAAATAAGCAAGCGTTTTCTAATATCTGTTTGACATAGTGTGTGTGGTTATGTAGAAGAAGCGCATGCGTCATTTTCTTTCTCCTGATTGACGCAAGTCGTATGTTTAATATCCTTTAATTTCGTCTGTTTTCATTCAAGATCTTTAAGTGCATCGCTAAATCAAACATTGGATGTGGGTGGTCTGAGAGTCCTTTAGCACGAAAATCGATGCAAGATGGCGTCTTTGCTTCTCGTGATGCCATGTTTCTTACATGTTATGTTACATGTTAGAAAGATGTTAACAATTTCAATATATTACTCATATAAAATGGCTATAACAGCTATCGAACAGCTGCTTGCATCAAAAACCCTAGATATATGTATGTATGTACGGCATGCAAAAAGAACCTTACATACACTATTTCTAGATAAACTTGTATCTGTACTTAAGGCTATATGTATACCCAATGCACCATACTAATGATAAAGTGATATATTTCAGATGATGATAACGACATCAAAGTTTCGGTCCTGATGGACGATGAGGAAACAGATTTGAGTTTCGACTGTTCGCCATTTAACCAGGTAAGGTCCGTTACAATTCACGCCTTTATCCGCTCACATTTTCATTTGTTCAACTGTCTACCTCACACGAGGTACAAACGCGCGCGCACACACGCGCGCTCAAACTCACAAAACATAACACCATCTATCGCCTCACTGGTGGTCATATGTCCTTACTGTCCGTTGTATATGTAACAACAGGTTTTAGAGCAGGGTTTTTGAGCATGCGTGAAACAGGCGTTTTGTGAAATGATTTATGCAGGTATCTTGAACAACCCGACACTTCAGAATAGCTAGGTAGTGAAAGCTAGAAACCGAGAGTTTTCACGCTCCGGTCTGTGCTCTTACCCCGCAATGGCACGGAAACTAGACAAAACATTGACAAAAATTAAGAACCTACATGTTCCAGCAGCGAATATTCTGTTTCGTTGCCATTAATGTTCTTATCTATAAACGAAAGTAATGGCTAGTCACACAAACGGATATATAAAATGGCGCCGTGGTGTTTCTATAAACGCCTCTACTCTCGGCCTGTATGAATTGTTTTAACAGGTTTCGGCTTTAGATGACTGCAGCTATGACCTAGGCGACCTATTGTTGTCTTTAGTAGCATCATTGAAAAGCAGCGTCTCTATTTATTTTGAGGCCGTATTTTATTTTCTTGATTTTCTATAAATCCAATAGCGTTTGATAGATGTGACATACGTTTATTAGCAAAAATGGAGATGTCATTGCACAGTTGCTGAGACAATTTTATTCAATTTTTGGCAAAATAAATTATCACATTTGTCCTCTTTACGTTTTAGAAATGAATGAATTATTTGAAAAGTCTTCAAAATACGACGCATCAATTTGCGTGTAAAAACATTATCTCTGTTAAACTCCCGCGTGGCAAATACAAAAAGACATTTAACAGCTAGCACAGGAAAGAGAAAAGAAAACACATTTATTTTAATCTTTACCATTCACAGGAATGGCAGTACTTATAAGCCAATCACAAAAACATCCTCATTTCTTTTCTAAATAATCATCTTTAACTCAATCAAATGAAAGAATAGTAAATTAATTAACCAGGTGTTCATTGATGTTCTTCATATTGGTTGCTAAGACAACGTATCACATTGACGCACGTTCCTAGCTATGGTTCGGCTGCTTTATTCAAATCCGCGGCAATCTTAATTAGGAGAATCTAAAGATAACATTGTCAGTTCACTATAAAACACGCTGTGATGGCTTCACGATGCGAAATAGATGGATCTTTTATGAGATCATTGGCACTTAAGATAGGAAAAAAGGACGGCAAATCGTCAAAATACAAGTTGGAGTTGTTTTGAAAGTATTTTGGCATCCATGATGAGGAAATAATGGATTCCGTGTCGTGGTTTTAAAGGTAATTCGATCAAACGGTGAACGCCAAGGTGGTCATTGGCATCTATGTCAAAAAGCTAAGATTTCTCAAATTGCCATACGCAGCCAGAGAGATCACGTTTTAATAATCGTCTACGGTTCATACGCTGTAGGTGTGGTAAAAAAAAAAAAAAAAAAAAAAAAAAAACGCTTGAGGCCATAATAAATAGAACGAGCTTATATACAAGGTACATATACCCACATACATAACAAAAACTGAGGCAGGTGTTTTATTGAAGAATGTGTCAAAGACTACTGCACCGTCTCACGTGAAGCACGTTTCCAGTAAGAGGGCATAACATGAAATCAATGGCCGTTGCTGTGTGCATCTACTTTTTTGACATGTTAATGAAATCAGCGGCAATGATTTTTTATCGTGATGAATTATTATCAACTATATCCTGACTCATTATTCCGTGTGCGTCATTTTAACGACTCGTTGTGCGGCACGGAAATCTGAAGCAACTTGTGCAACGTTTTAGCGTCTCATTTCCCTTGCGTCTGTTCTGTGCTTTCGAAGTCTTTTTAGTCCTTGACTGTTGGGCATGCTTTCATCACGAGACATTTAAACTGTACTTATTGATTCATAGATTGATTGGCAAGTGACGATTGATATGGTTGTAGATCCAAGGACGTAGTTTCCTGTTCTTCAAATCATTATCAAACTCCTTTGCGTCTTTGTTCATTATAGTGACACGCTTCCTACCCAGTGCTATTTGATTGCTTCTAGAGTGTAACATGATGTAGATATTTCAGTAATTGCTTGGTGCCTTAGTTGCAGACTTTGGGTTATATAAGCGATTAAAAGGGCGTTCGGAAATTATTATTTTATCATTCTATCAGTCGATAGATAAACCACGTGGAAATCTGAAGCAGCCTGTGCATCGTTATAGCGATTTCATTTCCCTTCCGCGTTTTTCTCTTCCGCGTGGGACGTCCATTGACAGCGATTTCTTTTTGGTGCCGAATTAATTTTTTGGAGACTGTCTCACCAAACAATTCAATGCTAAATCTATTGTTCTTGTGAGATACATGGAAGCTTGGAAAGTCTTGATAATTTTTATCAACTGTTTTCTAGAATCGCCTTGAAGAAGAAGAAGAATCCACCCCGGACGCTTACGTCATAGTTTACTCCGTGGCCGACCGTTCGTCTTTCCAGTACGCCTGCGACGTGCTGTACAGCCTAAGAAAAGAAAACCATTTTCAAAAGGCCATAATTCTCGTCGGCAACAAGAGCGATCTCGCTCGTGCGAGAGTTGTCTCCACAGAAGGTGAGTTATTCATCTTTGGTTTCCATTTGTTTCATTTTTGTTTTATGCCCCTATTTCACACAGACCAGGAATTAACAAATTTCAGGATTCGTGAGATTTTGCAACTTTTCTGGCCTAATTCTATACGCTCTACAATTCAGTTACGATACAGGTGCGATAGTGTTCCGAATATTCGTGAGATTCGGCTGAAATCGCACGAATATTGTCAAGAATTCACTACGATTTACAAGTATCTATTACGAATACTGCACGAACGTTACGAATCAATAAGGAATCAGTTAAGCATACGCCAAATGCATGCAAGAATTGGGTACGAATAAAAGTGATTTCTGGACTATTCTTGACATTTCGTGGTATTTCCCCTCAAGAATGCTTCGGCGAATATTCGTGGGATTCGTGACTAATTCGGAGCCGATTCGTGGTCAATCCAGGGGTTCACGAATCCCCGAATGAGTTAAGAATACATACGAATGCCTACGAATCGATTACGATTCAGTTACGATGCCTAAGAATGAAATACGAATTTGCTTCGAATTAACTACAATTTTTTGGAATCGGGAGTTCGTGGCCAGAATTTTGAACAGCTCAAAAATTTTGCCACGAATTCCCGATTGATCAAGAATTGCAAGAACTGACTACGAATATATACGAATCTGTTAAGAACTTCACGAACTGATTACGATTCAACCACGAATCCTGAAATTTGTCAATTCCTGGCGATTCGTGAGATTCGTGGTCTGTGTGAAATAGGGGCATTATATGTAGCTAACAGTTTTCAAAAGGTTTTTTCGTCTCATAAAACCGTAATTTTACAAACTGTGGAAGCAATACCACTGCGGTTTTTGTATCCAGGCAATGATGTTTAATTAAAAAGGTATAAGATATCTACATTAGCGCAGACTCAAAAATTCTCGTATTACGCTCGATACAATCAACAGGCAAATTAAATCTTACACGTCAAGCAATCTAACGTTGTGCTGTACACTAACTCATGTACCATGTACACATTAACTTTATATAATGGATTTAAGAAGGTTATTAATCACAACAGCCGCGTTTAATACTTGCTTCACATTTATTTCTTCACTTTGTTATCCAAGCCATTTTTTTTTCGATTTTCAAGTAAGAAGTTAGAAAACGTAAACGAAACCTTCCAATCATACTAGAAGCTTTAGTAATATCACTGTAAGATATTACACAAAGCAACATGGAAGCTTCATAATGCGGTTTAGGCGGTGTATGCATTAGCTGTCCATAGCTAAGTAATGATACGGACGTTTCAATTGCAAAGCACACAGCTGGCAGACACAATGTAAATCATTTATTCCTCTTTAAGCGACGCCCAAGAGACATGCACAGCCTTTTCTCTATGCTGTCCAAGGGAAATCATGTTAGCAGAAGAAAATCAATGATTTTATCAGTAGTGTGGTGAAGAAATCACGACATAATGTTTTCGATGTTTTGCTTTTCTAATTGACAGTCTCATGTAAACGCAGAGTAAAATTACAGAGCAAAAAAAAAAAAAAAAAAAAAAGCAACAGTGGCGCGTCTGCTTTAAAGTGACATTTTTCTCCATCAAAAACGAAAAAAATGGAAGTTTGTGGCTGGTATAACACACTTGCATTCAAACAGAAAAGGGCAACGGTGTGTATTTAAATAAATTTCAACATCGTGTGGTTATAGGCGCTTTTTGTGCTGTCGCCAACTTGTAGCTCTTAGAAAAACCGTGTGCACACATATTTAATTAATAATACATTTAGCATGCATGATCACATCTGTACAGAATATAAAACATATTTCTACTTTGTGTTCCCATTGCTCTTAAACACATATATTTGCACATCAACTAAAAGCTTGTATAGAACAATTGGACATCACTTAAAAGCTTGTATAGAGAACAATTGGAAAGCGACCCTCGCCTAGCATTAATCTGCTACTAAAGTACATGTATATGCCACACTCTCTTAAGATTTAACAAACGAACGACTCACCGTGTGGGAAATTTTTCTCTGTTTTCATTTCTCAAATAGAAGCATCAATTCAATTACAATATGTGCCATTATATACGGCAGGATGACTCGAATTTAGACTGTAAACAAAAATTATGAACAACAGCATTAATTGTCTCTTGTCATAAAAGACGCCATATCAGTCATTTTACAGTAGAAATCATGCCGGATAATATGAATGAATTTGCCTTGGTTGCCTAAAGGCTTTCACTTAATTAGCTGTACCGGTTATAGTTGATTATTATCTATATGCCCAGTACAGAATACGAAACGGACATTTTGAAACTATTTTCAGACTTCGTTGGCGCTACTTATGTCATTAAAGTACTAACTCTGATTGCATGTGGAAAAATAATTTTTTATTATGACTATTAGGACAACGTACACTGTAGAACACTCTCGTTAACTGAGGAATATTTCTTTTGCTTGGAGTATTTTTTAAAACCACGTGCAGTAGAACACATGACGCCGATGAACAAGAAACGTTTTTCTATACAAAAGAGATAACACACACACTAGAACCTGCCACAGTATTGGAACACGTGTGGAAACACATGGGAACTGCATCCTCTTCCTCTCTTTATCTTGCTACATGTGCCACCATATAACACCCTGTACACTCGGGGTCTCCGCTACACTTACTTCGAACGATTGCTTTCAACGAAACCTGTGCAATACCGCGGTTTACCGAGATAAACAGGGTAACAGATAACGGAACTGCGCCCAACAGGTGCGTGTCGTTTTAGGTAAAATGGATAGTCCGACACTTCCCAAATTTAGTAATTTGATCTAATAAGCAGAGAGTAATCAATGGTTTTCTTGCAAGATAGATGTATTCATCCGGCCCCCAGGGGTTAATTGCAGGAACCCAGCTACAACCCTTGGTCCACGTGGCATTTTGTACTGTCTAAAGCATGCAAAGTTATCATCACGTTGTTGATGTTAGAATCTGTTCTCCGCTTGTTTCCTCTTCCCTAGACAAAGAGATCGAACGTCGTATGAATATGTCAACAAAGACGTGGCATCGAGCACATGCAAGATGGTGATCATATTATCTTGCGGTAATTTTGAGACACCTTTGGCGCCTCCCTCGCCAGATTCCTTTAGGATTTCAATTAATTCGCAGCCAGGGCTTTTTTATTACGTTACACAGTAAGCGTAAATGTGAGAAGATAAAGGGCAAAGTTAAGACGAACAGAAAAGCATTTGTAGTAAAAAAAGGCAGAGAGAAAAAAGGGGACTATGAAACGGTAAGAGACGTCAAGAGTGGGCATAACCTCTTGCTTCTACGTCTTTCGAATTTTGTGCTTTTCTTATTCGGTAAGGTTCCAAAGGTGCTTCGGTGATAGCAATGGGTTTAATAAATAACAGATAAAATCGCAACATATCTCGTCAGTGCTAAGCTCTAATCATTCAAAGTAAAACAGATGGAGATCACCACAAATCGATTTGATTGTTGATTTGGATGGACAAGAGATAAACTAAAGTTGTTAATATATCCGCTGTTTTTAGTTCCATCTATGGGGTCTAAAGCGCTACAATTACTGGAGCGTAAACACATCAAAGAAAAGATTGCTGTTTACGTAAGAAGTCTTTGACAGATCTCTGTTTTTGCTGCCAAAAGTATTCTACTTTTTACAGAATACGCATATACAATTGATCCATTTGACTAGATATCATCAGTGAGTTTAATTACGCATAATGATATGTAACTTTCACTCACTCGCAGATTTTGTTGAGTTTTATTGAAGATTGGGTTCGAATTTTTTCCTGGTTGTCTCCAACCAGCACGTGTTCCAGTATGATTTTTGGTCATGTGGTTAGCATGATGCACGTGCTATCAACTCCCTGTGATATTTCAAAAAACGTTTTCTATAAGACAAACGCAGTAAACAGGTAAGATGATCTCAGAGAAAGTTGCCACCGTCTGAGATTACTTAACGTACCGGAAATCAATTTGAGCAAATCTGCAAACGTTAATTACGAGCTGACACGAAAGTCGGACACAGTCTCGCATTACTGACAGGGAGGAGAAAAAATCTTTGACCTTGGGGGGAGGGGGGTTTGAAGGATCTAGGAAGCAAAACTGTTTTAAGACTCTTCTAAATAATTTTATTGTTGAATAGGTAAATCTGCCGTGAAACCCCGTGCTTTGTGATTGCTTTGTACTTTTTGAAAAATGAAACTAGACTAGCTGGTTTAACGAAGCATGTATGTAACTGGCATATTGCGCTTTAAATCAGGGTTGTAAGGGTTATGCAACCGATCAGAAAGCACAGCTGTAAAACCCTGAATGTTGAATTTGATGCCAACCCTCTTACTGATTTTTTGACAGACTCAATAATATCAACAATGTTTGTTTTGCCAAAGTAATTGAAGAGCTAGGAGGCAATCGCATCGAAATGGGGAAACAATTGCTGTTGAAATGTTGCTAAGCGGCGCCATCTCCCTGCTGAATGTCAGCCATATTGATATAAAGACACTCGGTTGTTATGTCAGTGTTTTGTAACAATTTCCACTTACCTGGGTATGGTATTGAATTCAGTCAATCTGACGGAACTCGCAATGTTATAGGCTTGCTTTGTCTGATGGCAATTTTGACCGGAATAATTTTCAGGTTTGCCTAGTTGTTTTTGCCAAAATAAACGGAAATTATAGGCAACTTGAATAGAAACAAATTAGAAGAACGTGATTATGTTCTTCAGCGCCCACAATGGCCCAGGTTGACTACATTGTCTCAGAGAGCGAATGTCGACGGGAACTCAGCAAGGGGTATTTTACAATCCGAATGTCATACAACATGGTTAATCAGTTGAAAGCTTGTGACTAATTGTTCAATTTATACACCAATACCATCCTTCCATGGGAAATCGATACATTTCCAGTGCATTCACACTGAACCCTTAGGAAATGAGCGACCAATACAATTTTTATTAATTGCCAATGACAACGTTAAAGCATTACAGAAGATTGCAATATAAAACCAAGGAAGGACTCAAAACAATGCCATTAATCAATATTAAAACCCCCAGAGCAGCCAAAGCACTATTTGTCCTCAAAGTCAGGTGAGGTAGAAAAACAAGGCTATCATTATTTTGCGTTGTAAAAATGCACTTAACATCACCTGGTTCAGTGAAATTGCAGAATGAGCTTGTTTTTTTCCAAAACACAGGATGTACGCCTGATAGCATATTAAACCACACCAAACAATATGCCCATAAAATGAGGACAGTTTAACTTGAAGTGTTGAAAACAATCGAAAATAAAAAGTGTTTTCGAATAAATGGGTTGTACAATGTCTAAATCTATACCCATGAATTATCCTAATTACTCTATTTCGGTGTTGACACATAGACGGTTTGCATACGAAATAAAATCGAAAACATGGCAGAAGAGAGATTTTGTCTTTTTTTTTTTACTTTCATTCCCTTTTCGTACATGTATATATGCTGCTTATATGTAATTAAAAGCAAGCTGTAACTCAAGGTGTTCAATTATTGAATGAGCTTCCATCGACATGGGTATTGGGTCTAGTGGCCAATGTATTGTAACAGACCTCTTAGTATTGAAAAATTACTGAAATAGCCAGCTTCGTTGTATGATTATAAACTGGGGCCCAGATATGCCTTAGAACTTGTAGAAATGTTTTCGAGATTTTAAAATATATATTATAGTATAGTAGTGATACGGGCGTGTTGTACGTGGTAAAACCATTTAGAGCTGATTTAAAAAATGACAGTACAGTCACACCGACTGCATTGTTACCCACTACATATCTACACAGCCTACACACACAGATCCTGTTAAGAAACATCAGGCAATAGTAGCCACTGCAATTTGTTCTGGGTACCTAGAAACTGCTTTACGCACATAAATGACAGTATATGAAGTGCATTCGTTAAGTATGCCAATGAGATTAATGAGTAGCCGTCAACTTTAAAGCCTGTTGGTTCGATCGAGCCTGATACATTTTCACGGGGCAAAAAAGCCTCGAAAAATAACTGCATTTACAAATAGTCTTGTGGTCACTATCTGTTATTAATTACAAAACTAAATCTAAGCACTATAAAAATTGGTTCCTTTCTCATGTTTTTATCTGTTTGTCTACTTTCAGAGGGCCATAACGTTGCGGTGTCGTATGACTGTAAATTCGTGGAGACGTCTGCCGTTTTAAACCACCAAGTTGACGAACTATTAGCGGGGGTTATTCGACAAATTAAACTTAAAGAACAACAGGTAATCTCGGACAACTCGAGCCCAGTGAACCAAGCTTACGGCAAAGACAGACGATCAAGCTTATCTAAATCAGCAAAAAATTTATTTGATAAACTTTTAAAGAGAAACTCATCGATAAGTAGTTCTGCCGGCGACCTGTATTCGCCCTGATATGCCAAAATGAAAACCAAAGATACATGTAAGTCCAATCAACCATCGACTGAAATGAGCGTTGATGCTCATCAAGATAAAGTCCATGCCCATCGCTTTGGCACCGGTATGCCATAAACAGCGCCATCTACAAATGAGAAAAGCAAGATGCCAGATGGTGTATAATTAATGACTGCAGGGATAAGCTCTTAATTCTCAGTTGGCAATTATGATCTTTCTAAGAGATCTATTAAAAGCAGGAAATAATTGTTAATTGATGCTGATTTTTTTTTTTTTTTTTTTTTTTTTTTTTTTTTTTTTTTTTTTTTTTTTTTTTTTTTTTTTTTTTTTTTTTTTTTTTTTTTTTTTTTTTTTTTTTTTTTTTTTTTTTTTTTTTTTTTTTTTTTTTTTTTTTTTTTTTTTTTTTTTTTTTTTTTTTTTTTTTTTTTTTTTTTTTTTTTTTTTTTTTTTTTTTTTTTTTTTTTTTTTTTTTTTTTTTTTTTTTTTTTTTTTTTTTTTTTTTTTTTTTTTTTTTTTTTTTTTTTTTTTTTTTTTTTTTTTTTTTTTTTTTTTTTTTTTTTTTTTTTTTTTTTTTTTTTTTTTTTTTTTTTTTTTTTTTTTTTTTTTTTTTTTTTTTTTTTTTTTTTTTTTTTTTTTTTTTTTTTTTTTTTTTTTTTTTTTTTTTTTTTTTTTTTTTTTTTTTTTTTTTTTTTTTTTTTTTTTTTTTTTTTTTTTTTTTTTTTTTTTTTTTTTTTTTTTTTTTTTTTTTTTTTTTTTTTTTTTTTTTTTTTTTTTTTTTTTTTTTTTTTTTTTTTTTTTTTTTTTTTTTTTTTTTTTTTTTTTTTTTTTTTTTTTTTTTTTTTTTTTTTTTTTTTTTTTTTTTTTTTTTTTTTTTTTTTTTTTTTTTTTTTTTTTTTTTTTTTTTTTTTTTTTTTTTTTTTTTTTTTTTTTTTTTTTTTTTTTTTTTTTTTTTTTTTTTTTTTTTTTTTTTTTTTTTTTTTTTTTTTTTTTTTTTTTTTTTTTTTTTTTTTTTTTTTTTTTTTTTTTTTTTTTTTTTTTTTTTTTTTTTTTTTTTTTTTTTTTTTTTTTTTTTTTTTTTTTTTTTTTTTTTTTTTTTTTTTTTTTTTTTTTTTTTTTTTTTGACATTTAGGATTTTAATTTGGCGCATGTGCTAATCATGTAGATAAAGCCTCCCATGATTCCTGAAAATTGCAAGATGGATTCGGATGCGTTACGCTGATGATTGCTTTCAATTATTTGAGTATTTTATGCTTAAATTACAATATTCTTTTAATAGGAACATTTTAGCTAACGTAATAACACTAATACATATAAGAAAAATACAGAAGCACGCTATGTGCACATGTAGCAGCCATGGTATTACTATTGATGGTTGATTTAGGAAGAAAAAACAATTTTACAGTGGCTATGGCCTAAAGACATATTTTGTACATACGGCACTAAATCTATTAATTTAAAAATAGGTTTACGCAAATATTGATATGAAGTCAATATTTTAATCAAGTTATTTAATAATCAGTTATTTTACATATGATAATATTTAATGTCTTTGTACATGTAGACGATTGCATCAGCACGAAAATTACAGAAAGTGCAATGGTATTATACCAAGCTTTGAATTACTGTGAACAAATTATCCCAAAGAACTGATATTTTTATATGTCCTATTGTAAGTGAAAAGAATGTGATTAGAACGCTAGATATTGAAACAAAGACCTACAAACAAAGAAACGTAAGTTTCTGAATAATGTTCAGAAGTATGAATTGAATGGCAGTCATGAACACAGACATGTGAAGGGAGTTAAATGGACACATACACGTACACCTTAATGTTTTCAGTATAAACTTTGTTTTTGTCTTGTAATAGTTAACTTTTTTGGAAACCGTATTCATGGATCTGGCATCAACTGTACTCAGTTGGTTCCTGATAAGACCTGAAAAAAAAGATTTTACTTTATTTTCTTTTAATATTAGTAAAGTTTATTATACTTTTGACGACAGTGGTCAATTATTTCATGTAAAATTCACATACATGTATATACAACCACTCCAGGGGGCCAAATTTAGAGGAGAAAGAAATAAGTGATAATGATGATAATGATAATGATAACAATCTATAATGTCAGTCATCCGAGATAGTCTAAAAATCCTGGGCTTACCGTAAAACCAAACAAGATTTCGTGGGATTTAAATGAGTAGTGGGGTCAGAAATATAAGCAGACTAGCGAGTGCGGTACGGCGACAGATAAAAACTGGCAGAATTTATTCACGGATATTTGTCCTGTTGTTTTTTTCTAAGAATTATTACAGTCAGTTTTACATTTAGATTTACAGTCAGTTTTATAGTAAGAATTACAGTCCGTTTTGCGCCTTCTTTTCCGAGACGATATTCGCGGCGCATTAAGTTCCACTTTTATCGCTGAAAAAAAAGCCCCACCTCGTACGTGTTATATAGTTTCATATGACGCCGCACAAAGGAGCGACAGCCTTGTTTTAGGCTTTCTCAGATGATTTCCGTTACATTGGTAGGCCCTACTAGTACTTCTGTTGTAAGGCCTTTCCTATAAGCATTACCTGCTTAATGTACCGTACAAAGTAACATCCACTCTTCAGTGTAGCAAATTTTAATTTGTCAAGGTTATTCCTCCACCAGTAAGTGTCTCTCAAAGTCACGTCAGTAACGGTCACATTCTGTGCAATATTTGCAAAATGTTGACTTGTCCCATTAAATTTGCCGTTTTATACAATTGTACCTTCCGGCGTGGAACAGATTTAATAGATTTTTCAACAGTAATAAAACGGGGATTAAATTTTAATAGATTAAATTATTTATACAAATATTAAATTTTGGAGTCACCGATGTGATGCAGAGCTTCAGTTACATTTTTGTGGAATGACCCGTCAAATGTTATGTCAACTGTGCGGTGAAGTATTACAGAGCGCTCTTAAAGGTGACAAAGGGGGTACCATAGGCACTTGACAAAGATTCAAAGTCTAGAAACTTAATATAGAGATTTTAATTTGGTATCGTTCTAGAACATTGTCAGAATTAAGATATGAAGTACGGGTCGGGCGTGCAATGTGTTATTTTATCGAATGGCGTTTAAGGCATGCATCGAGCGTTACAAATTTACATATGTATATACCATTTAATAATTAAGGTAAATGGATATAATTTCCAACTTAACAGGTTTCCAAACAGTTATTGGTCATCGCCGAGCAGGAAATAGTTAACTGATTGGTAATTTTTTATTCTCTATGCCTTAAATGCCATCGAAATCGGAAATTGGTTTTAACTCGGCTTTCTTTTAATCATCAATGCCCGTGTCCGGCATTGCTCAGATTGGTCAGATTTACCGGTGATTATGGGACCACAGACGTTAGTTTCTGATTTAATGTTTTGTACAAAAGATAATTATTTTTCTACAATTTTTCATCTGATTATTATCTTTTTATCAATTTTGATATTTTGCATGGGGTATAAAGGAAGTACTAGTGTGATTGCTTATTATGTTTTAACTGTGAGGCGTGATACGCCCACTGCTTAAGGGAGCATTCAGATGCAGACATCTGGGTCGAACCTACTCTGCCGGGATAAGCCGAACGCACACGAAAGTTTATTATCCCCTAGCTGCTCTAAGAGGCGTGTCAGACAATTAAGCTTATTACAATGATTGCACTCTAGAGAGCTTCCCCGCAGAGTTGGATCGATCCAGTTGGTACGATGTCTGAATCTGAATGCGGTCTTAGAGTCCATAACATCCGAAGTCTCCGTTATAAAAAATATTTTATAAAAGAAATTTGATTATTGCTATGACGTTAAAGGTCAACATGGTGTTGTTTCATACATACATCAATAAAAGAATATTGTTTCTTCGTTACATTTCTTGTGTATGTTTCTATTGCGCATGCGTTGTAAACTTTGTCCCATAGACTGTACTTCCATACAGCCGAAATATTGCCCTTGATATGCATTTTTGGTAGCAACTATCAGATTTGAAGTTAAATACCGTTAAAATGTGATGTTTCACACGATGCTCACACTAGTAATGTTGAGAGATTTTCTTTTGTTTTTTCAACTTCTTACACACTGAACTAAAATTATAGATTGATACACAAAAAGTGTTCGAGTACAATTGTTTGAAGGAATTGGAAAGGCGAAGTTGTTATTGGGCTTCTTGATAAAAGTGTCCAAAACCTAACCAAATCTGTTTAAAAATCGCGTTCAAATTTCGTACTTGGGGTCAATAATACGCCTACTTTACCTTAGAGTATCCAACAACGAGGAAATTTAAGATAAGGGTTATTTATTACTTCCGAGAGTCACCACGGCTATCAAATTTATGTGAAGATTATACATATTATTAGGTAATAGCAAACTAATTCTTAGACAAAACAAAGCTTATAAATTTGACACTTTTTATGCTTCCCTTTTATGCTTTTTATGCTTCCCTTTTTTTATCCATTCTGAAATTTTCCTCAAATTCGTCCATAATGTTTTCAGTTAGACTGTTAGCTAATAAACCAACAAAAATAAGACATAACTTCCTTGGCGGAGGTAACGGCTATATTTTATGGATCTATGGAATTTTCATACTTCACTGGAATAGTTTTCACAAGAGATAATATAAAATTAAACGTCCTGTTCACGCCGAACGCTTCTATAACATAATCACTGACTGTGCACTCAAGAACATAACGTGCTGCCTTTGTTTCTAGATTATAAGGAATGGTTAACGGCTGAAGTGGATAACATAAAAACATGCGCCTGCCTCTGTTTTTTTTTCATCCCTAATTCTTTATTCTCTTGTTTTTTCTTTATTTCTTTATATTCATTTACGATTTTGTATGTGATTGACGCAAGTCATGATTCTGAAGTCTTTCGTTTGACGTTAACATATTAACACAGTCTATTGTCAGACTTATAAAGTTGATAAGGATCACAACTTGATCAGTCATCAGGAAATCTGGGCCTCGTTTCATCAACACTGGATAGAGCTCCCGATTTTGCTATGCAGTGGTTGAAAATAGCTGCTATCTCCGGATAACTGTCTAGAGTAGAACAATTTTATTCAATGGAGGGTGTTATCCATAGAAAAGCGCTATCCAGTGTTGATGAAACTGGACCCTGATGAATAAATATAGCTTTGCAGACCTAAGAACTGGTTAAGGGGGATGGGGGGGGGGGGGGGGGGATTGGGCTGAAGGACGTGTTCACCCGCAGACTGACCCGGAACCTGATGCATACAGTGCCGCCG